GACTTTGAGATGCCTCAGTCCGCAGCTATCAAGGCCTTCAGCGAGGCGAAGATGGAGACTGACCAGCTCATGGAGAAGTTTGGTGCTCCTGGGTATCTCCAAACCATCGCACCTCAGCAGGACCAGCTTTGCGTAGCCCTGGTCGTTGAGGCATTCTCCAACCTAGACTGCGATCTCAGCGCGGCCAAGGCTGGCGAGGAGCTGCCATTCATCCCGCACGCCAGTGACCAGAAGAAGTTCGCGCAATACCTCTACACGGTTCTCGAAACCGCTCGCCTTGTGGACCTTGACAATGACAAGATTACTCGCACTAACGTGCCAGTTCCCACAAGAGCAAGCAGTGACCTTCTTCGCGAGCTACTCGACAAGTACCCTGAGCATGCATGCTGCAATGAGCTCGCATACTGGACAGGCTCGCATCTCGCAGGCATTCTCACGGGCAAAGAAGATGGCATCAAACTCATATTCGGTACCGAGCGCGGTCGTGAGCTAGTCGGAGCTGTCTATGCTGACTTCCCTCTGAACAAGCTCTACTATGCTCAGATGGGCGACTTCCTTCGTCGTCTTGCAACATCGCCTTCTCGCCGCCCTGAACACGGTCCTCTCAAGATCCTTGAGATGGGAGCCGGTACTGGTGCCACGACCAACAGCTTAGTACCCCTCCTTGCCACCCTGGGCGTCAATATTGAGTACACTTTTACCGACCTGGCGCCTAGCTTCGTCGCTGCGGCGAGGAAGAAGTACAAGCAGTACCCTTTCATGAAGTTCAGGGTTCACGACATTGAGAAGGAGCCTGCGGCCGATCTGTTGCAAAGTCAGCACGTCGTCATCGCCAGTAACGCAGTCCACGCCACCCGCAGTCTTCCAGTATCTACAGGCAACATCCGCAAGATGCTCCGACCAGACGGTGTGTTGATGCTGCTGGAGATGACGGAGCCCATGTACTGGTGTGACATTGTCTTTGGTGTATTTGAGGGCTGGTGGCTCTTCGAGGATGGCAGGCAGCATGCTGTCGCCCCTCCACAGACATGGGAGAAGGTCCTGCACAGTGTCGGTTACGGACACGTTGACTGGAGCGATGGCAATGTTGAAGAGGTCAGGTGCGAGCGAGTCATCATCGCCACGGCAGGTGGCAAGCAACTCGAGCGTTTGAATGTCCCGTCGAAGCCTGTCCAGCAAGAGGTGTGTACGATCCTGATCTCTATTGATTGACCGTCTAACTGAACTAGTAGGATTTTCGCCACGATGAACGGAGAGCGGCAACCGACAAACTCATCGAGTCGATGACCACGGGATTCGCACTGCCTGCACAGGTAGAGCCAAGTACTGTCGATACTAGGCCGACTGGGCAGTGTGTTCTCATCACCGGCGCGACTGGTAGCCTTGGATCGCACATGCTCGCCCACTATGCCAACCTTCCAACCGTATCCTCAGTAATAGCCTTCAATCGACGCAACAAATCCTCGGGCTTGGATCCCCTCGGGCGCCAGCTCGCTGCTCTCAAATCACGGGATCTCACTCTTTCTCCTTCAGCATCGGACAAGATTTCTGTTTACGAGGTAGACATGACGAAGCCGTTCTTCAGCTTGCCACAATCCACCTACGACCAACTTGTCAAGTCCGTCACGCATATTGTCCACAATGCTTGGCCCATGAATGCCAAACAACCCTTCTCTGCTTTTCTCCCGCAATTCCGCGTTCTTCGCAGCCTAATCGACTTTGCTGCACTGATTTCTGCCCATTCATGTTCTGATTCCAAAGTTGTCTTTCAATTCATATCTTCGATTGCGACTGTGGGGCATTACCCCATACACGAGGGGACACCGCACATCCCCGAGCAGCGCGTCACCATCGAGCACGTTCTGCCCAACGGTTACGGAGATGCGAAATTCGTATGCGAGCGCATGCTCGATGAAACACTGCACAAGCATAGTTCGCGCTTCAGTGTCATGGCAGTGCGACTCGGCCAGGTCGCCGGGTGCTCCGCCTCGGGCTACTGGAACGAGAACGAACACCTACCTTTCCTCATCAAGAGTTCGCAGACACTGAGGGCACTGCCAAAGTTCGAGGGCCCAGTGAGCTGGACACCCGTCGACGCGGTAGCGGCAGTGTGTGCGGACCTTGCTCTCGGCGAATCTACCGCCGGGGGCGTTTATCACATCGATAATCCCGTTCGTCAGCCTTGGAGCAAGATGCTACCCCTCCTTGCTTCGGAGCTCGGCATTCCAGAGAAGAACATCATCTCGTTCAAGGAGTGGATCAAGCGTGTTCGTGCGTTCCCCCACGAGGCTACTCCGGGCCAAGCGGACCTAAATCCAGCGAAGCGCCTGGTAGATTTCCTAGAAGTGGACTTTACTAGAATGAGTTGTGGAGGTGTATTACTAGGTACTGAGAGGAGTCTGAAGGACTCGGCGGCCATGAGGGGTGTTGGCAGTGTTGACGACGAAAGTGTACGACGATATATTGGCAGTTGGAAAGTACGGGGGTTCCTTGCGTAAATTCTGTTTTGTAATTAATGTACTATACAACTATACATGTTATGATGATAATCCGATGTTCCCCGATGCTCTCCGAGAACCGTGATTTGTGCTGATAGGGCGAGTTGGGAGAGTAAGATTTTGGTGTATGCAGTACTCAGTCTCATCCGATGTACCGGCTTGTGCCGTAAAACGTCTTATGTTTACTTGGACTTCCCTGTCCCGGCGTTGTCCGGCAAAAGTGTGCAAGGACCAGGAGTTCGATTCTCCTTGTCATCTTATGAAAAAAAAAACATAAAAGTATTATGCACATATGTAATCTTACAGATTGAAGCTAGTTTTCGGGCGAGTTCGATTCTGTCTGTGCAGTACCGTTTTAATGACCAAAACCCGCAAGTAAGCAAGGTAGAAAGAGCGTTACTAATGCAAGGTCTAGGCTCTATCGGCCTCGATCTTCCTAGGAAATTCTGTTTCCAGATAGAATGGAACCTTGTCAAAATTAAACAATCAATCTAACGGATGAATATTTCAAGGTTGAATACGGTATGTTCCATTTAGGGTCAACCTGCCACGAGCAAAAGACTGGCTTAGGCCACGTAGACTGAGAAATGCACATGGAAAGAGCGGTAACTTGCGCTAAGTAGTCCACTTGTAGTAAAGGCTAACGAATACGATCTGCGAGTTCCACTATTTCATTTAGTCAAAGCACATTTTCGGATGCGATTTCACCCAAATCTCGATCGAGAAGTAGAATCGTAAGATAGGGACTACTAAATACGAAGAACAACTAGTTTTATCTAGAAAAGGGTGCGATGTTAACTAGCTGTTGGGTAGATAAGACAAGTGATGATCAGAAGAGAGGTCATGTGATTGCAGGGAATGGTGTAGTTTGATAATCAAGAAAAAAAACCGTTTAGAGTAGGGATCGCGAATACCAAGTAATTAATCGACTGCGCATAGGTTATTATAAGATTGCGACGTGTAGTGCCCATCGAGACAAAGTTTGGACGATCAGAATGAGGGTCCGCCAAGAACCAAGAAATGGCATGACAGGGTTGGAGTACTCGGGCCGGTATGTAGTAAGTAGTGTAAGTAGAGGGCGCCGGATTTGGACCCTTCATTTCGGAAGGTATGGTGGGGACAGGGGAAATGTGATTGGCTAAGATGACGTGCTTAACGGTGCAGATATAGACGCTTGATTTGGGATAAGTCGATCCAAGGCATGGAATTGTGGGCCGGACCGATTGTCCGGTTTGTATAATGGCACGGTTTGTGGAACGACCGTATGTGCGGTATACCTGCCAATGTACTTGGCAAGATGGCAGCTACATAGTTATGATTATAGACGATGTTATCAGGTCCCGGGCCAAGCCGTGGTCAGCCGTTGGCGTGCCGGTGGTTGATAGCTGGGACCCTTATCATTGAGAGACTTGGTGGTGGGCAGATTGTGCAGGCAGCTGAAATGATATGTACCATGTCGCATCATGAGCAGGTCGAGGTGCCAGGCGGGTCTGTGGGGGAAACCCCTACCAATCTGAAACTAGTACTCAGTAGGATGGTGGTTCTGGTTCAGCTGGAGTGCCTGACGACCGCTCGGACTTTTGAGGTTTCGTCGGGTGGGTTTCCCTGCAGGAGCCGGGTATGACGTACCTCAGCCCTGGAGGGCGGTCTGTCGGTACAATTGGGGCAATGGATCGATGCGAGCAGGGCGTCAGCCGTTGGGGAGATAGTAGAAGAATACGAAGCGAACAGGTCGCTCGGCTGGGGACGGGATTTTCGGCGGGTCCGGGACTGAAGCTGGGTGCATGGCAGCCAAGCAGTGAATGTCTTTAGCTGATCCACGTGGTTGTGTAGGTCACCCCATGCCAAGGGTGTGGAATGCGACTCCAAGAGCCTGGCAGCGCCCACGTCGAGGTTCCATCTGGCCTAGCACAACGTCGATCGCTCTGTATTAGAAAATGCACCAGTGGGTAGCCGCTTCATGTTCTGCCGCGGGCCGATGGGATAGTCCGGCCGGATGGTGGAGACCTAGCTCCGACTCCTGTCCTGTTGCTGTCCTGCTGGTTCCATGTACAATGGTGTTACATCCATCCTACTACCGTGGAGTACGTACCTCTCCATCTCTCCAACGGCGATTGCCATGTCACCCCTTGATCACCTGCTGACTGTACATAGTGCAACGCCGCCTTGCCTCACCTTCCGTCTCCCCATTGCATGCCCCGTACGTACGTATGCCCATCGCCTCCAATCACGGGGCCGCGCGGCGCATTAGCATCAGACCCCTCGACACTACCTACGCATTCCCTGGCCCTCTTTGCCGAGTGTTCCAGACGTCGGACCCATCCATCGCATAGCTAGCCCTTCTTTCTCGCTCGCTCTCTCTATTCTGTCTTGATTCATGAAACACGTACAGCGGTACAGGGGCCAGGACATAAGTATGTCCCTACACTAGCTAGCTGCTGCTACTGCAGGGAACCCCGGCCCATCCTACAGCCAGCCGTGGCCCACGGCCAATCGACAGCCGCCATCAGTAGCATATCCCTCTCTACTATACTCTCTCAAGCTATTTCAGAAACACCGAAACCAGTCATGCTATGCATTTTCATCACATTGCCTCCAATGGCCACCATGTCCATATGCACATGTACCTCTCTCTGCACGCGATCCTTCAAGTAGCTGCCCCCCCCCCAAGCCCGCTCGCTACCATTTGCGCCAAGGGCCCTTTGTACTTAGTATCGCTAGTGCTCCACTTGCGTTGGCCCTTCTAGTCTACGGCTCTATTTTGGCCGCGTCTCGCAATCTCTTCTAAAAGTGTACACAAACGGCGACTAGCGGAGCAAAGAGGCCGGATAATAACCTTGTACATTAGCAAAGAACAGGACCGAGACCCATCGCAAACGTCGCAAACACACGTATCTTATTGCCTGTGCCTAACTGCCGTCCCATCTTGCCACCCTCCCTGGTTTCTTAGCTGTTAGCTAAACGTCTTGGACACACTATAGGAGCTATCTTGGCCTCCTTGACGTCCAACCTACATTGGATTGTTGAATGCTCCCATGGATTCACATCCCACTAGTCGATGAAAGCTTAAACATGAGCTTGTATTTCATGACCCTTCTGCCCATCTAGTCAAGTAGCTACATGCGTTGCCTACTTACATACACCCCCTCCCCATATACTTATATAACACACACCACACGATTCAAGCAACCAAGTGGTACACACTCTCTGCATTTGTATCTTGATAAGCAACAAGGGAACACCAAAGCATTCCCCTCGACCATGGCTTCAACACCTACTACCACCCAACGGTCACGTCAACTGCCTGGCCTGGCCTGCGATGAGTGCCGCAGACGAAAGCTTCGATGCGATAGAGTCCAGCCACAATGTGGCGTTTGTCGCGATTCTGCCACAACCTGTGTAACTACTACAACGCGCCAGCCTCGTGGTCCCAAAAGAGGACATCTTCGCGCCCTCCAGTCTCGAATAGGTAATTTCTGGGTCACATGTCCGCATACGTCATCACGCTAATATATGCTTCCAATAGTCGCCCTTGAACGTCGCTTGAGCAGCGACAGAACGTCCGAGGATACCACCGACGACGATTTCACACGCCTTCCCGATGACCTGGACACTTTCGCTACCCCAGACCAACAAGCATTTTCGGATCTTATCCCCCAAGATGCTCGCGACTTGTTCGAAAAAGAAGCCTCAAGCAGTGACTTGGCACACAACTTTGAAGTCGATTCCGTCTTTTCCCAGTTGAACTCGGCCATGGCACTTCCAATCACAAGACTATCCCCAGTCGACTTTATCTCCGAGCCCATGCGCTCAGACCTGTACGTTTCGATCGCTTCCCCATCCCAAACCCCAGCTTTCGCTAATCACAATCCACATTGCAGAAGCCATCTCTATTTCGACCGCGTTCACAGTTTTTTCCCCATTCTCAACAAGCGACACTACTTTGTGCGAGCCCGAAGATCGCATTATGAGCAAGAGGATGAGGCATTTTACTGTCTGCAGCATGCCATGTGGACCCTCGCAGTTTCTACTTCGAGTCAGTTCCAACACATCCAAGACGACCTGTACGCACACACACATCGTATGATTGAGAACCTAGAGCAGCGATATCTCAACGCCGAGTGCATGCGATTAGAGCAGGTGCAAGCCCGGGCTTTGCTCACCATCTATGAATTCATGCGCGTGGGTTATAGAAAAGCATGGATGAGTGCAGGCAAGTGCTTCCGCTTCGCTATGCTCATGAAACTCCACAACATCGATGGACGCGATGGTGTCGCATCGTTATTACTCCAAAATCTCACCTTTGTCGAAATTGAAGAGCGAAGGAGAACCTTTTGGATGGCCTATACCATTGATCGAATCATTAGCCTATTGGACCGGCTACCGGTCACGTTTGATCAGCATACCGTAAGTCGATCTCCCGTCCTCACCCAAGCGAACCCTTGTTCTAACCCGAATCAAAGATTCTCACCCGGCTGCCCTGCCCCGAAAAGGAATTCCAGTCCGACGAGCCGACAATCATGGATTTCCTACCCAGCCCGCTGCTGGTATCCGAATCCAAAATACCATCCACATTCACAGATTCAATCCAACTTGTCGCAATATGCGGACAGTTGTTGTCGCATCAGCAGCAAGGCGTTGTCGAGCATGCGCAAGGCTTGATCTCGCTTGGGTTCTGGGATAGGCAACAACAACTGGATGCAAGACTAGAACAAGCCATTCAGGGCATGGCTCTCGACGACCCATACGCCTTGATCTTCCAAGATCCAATGGCGTATTTCACAGTGCTGGCCGCCCAGGCATCAAGCCTCATGTTATTCAAATCTAGTCAGATAGCCCCATGGGGCACAACTGACGGCCTCGATGTTGTTGCCGAATGCGAAAAGAAAGCAATGGCCGCCGCGCAGCAAATGATCATGATGTCCAAGGCTTTGGTCGAACTCAGCTACTTCAAGGTAAACATTACTCCAAATTTTTTATTTCTCTTTTTTAAAAAAAAATATCCAATTTCATTGCTAACTAAAATTCAAGATCCATCCATTTACTCCAGTCCTTCTCCACTTCTGTGGAGACTTCCTCATTTCCAACCATCACCTCGATCCCACCTTCGAAATGCGCCTAACGCTACAAACTGTGCTACAAGCCCTGAGCCCAGTAAACGTCATTGCACAAGAATGTGTAGATAGACTAAGGATAGTTGACTAAATAGAATATGAACATTGATACACTACTTGTTTGAACCATCTCTAACTTGCAACCTTCTCGGGCTCTGCAGGCTGGGCCGCAGCAGAGCCAGCAGGAAGAGGCTCGTTGATCTCAGCAAAGGTTCCGAGAGTAGGATCCTCCTCGGGCCTCTTGCTGCCTGGCGGTCCCTTGAACAGGATGATGACCTCCTCGAAGTACTTGTTCGTCTTGGCAAAGTACTTGTCGGCCTCCTCCTTGCCCTCGCCAACGAGCTTACCCTCGAGAGCAGCCTGGAAGGTCTTGAAGAGGAAGAAGTGCCTCTCAATACCGGTGCCGACGTTCCAGGCCATAGTGGGGGTCTCCAAGTGCCGGATGGCGACGAAGCTGTAGAGCAAGTGTGTCATGCCCCAGTCGACGTTCTTGATTTCCTTGCCGATGAGCACTGACTCGGCCTCGCTGAAACCGCGGCGATGGCGGAGGACGAGCTGCTTTGCGCGGAAAAGCGATGCAGCCATGATGTCAAGGGCGCAGTGGAAAGTGAAATCGGCCTCGGGGTCCTGAGTCCGCTGCCACTCGTCCGTGGTGCCTTCGACGATACCCATCTCTAGCGTGTACTGGGCAATTTGCTGGCATACATCCCGAATGTTCCAGCGGGGGCCGAAACGGGAGAGTTGCTGCACTGTGGCTGGTGGCGGAGGCTCATGGTGGACAGGTGCTACAGCAATTCTGCCCGTGGTGGGGTTTGGGGGAGTCTCGGGAAAGTCGTATCCGTATCCGTGAGTGCTAGTGTTGGACATGGTGAGCAGAGACAAGGTGATTCGAGATGTGCCTTGGTTGGTAATCGGGAGTATAAGATGTAAGCGTGGGTTGGATATCGTCTTACATTTGCTTGCTCGGTAAATATATATATCTTACATCCGATCGGTGGAGCGGTGGACACGGAGTTTCTCAACTCTGCCGGAGTTACTCGGAGGTTCCTACGTTTTACTCAACGGAGCATGTTGGATATAATCTGCGATCTGCAGCGCAAAATCTGATGTGGATACTGGGGACGTGTGCAGACTCGAACCATCTTTGATGGCCATCTGGAGTGATCTCACGCATACACGTCCAGTCGACCTCTGACGGACAATCAACTCTACCTGCGACGGAGTGATGGATGGTGCCAAGCCCCGGGTAAACAAAATGTTTCACTAGGGTCATACCTAAGCTAATGCTACCAAGGGTTAGATACTCCTTCTCAGTCAGCGATGTGTAATCACTACAATGTTGCAAACATGCGTGCACTCCATGGCATTTTGGATGGGTTGTCAAGCACTTTTCATATTCAAAAAATGACATGACACGAAAATTGCATATGGTACATGAAGCAAATGTTCAAGTTGAACAACCGTATTGACATAGCTATGATGCCAGTCGAGCACTCGAGACTTGCTAGGTGAAGCCAACAATCGCTAGTTCATCAAAATTATCATCGAAAGTTTTACTAGTTCAATATACCATCACAATCACATCGAAGCGCCAATAACCTCCTTATTGGCGCCTTCCATTTGAGCATCAGCATAACTAACTGACATCAAGTTTTTTTTAACTAATAATTCATGGCATTTGAACCTATCCATATTTCTACTTGGACTTTTCATGAATACTTGATTTTGAACTGGAAAAATGGAAACCATTAATTCACATGACCAGCAGGAACGCCAGACACGATACATGAGCGCAGTATATAAAAAGTCCCCCTAAAGCACCACGATCAACTTCTGGGCCGAAACACCCTTCTTGATGCGCTCCAATGCTTCCTGAATCTGATCCAACCCCTTGCCGACAACCACAGGTTCAGGAGCACACTTGTATTTGCCCGCCGCCAATGCGCCAGGTAGGAAATGCTCGTAAATGGCACTTCCTACCTCATTCTCCATGACATCGTCTCCCCAGATGAATTTGTAGCCGATGCCCTTGACTTTGCAGTTTACCATGGTCGAAACCTTGAACCAGAGGAAACGCGCAATGAACGATACCATGTTCATCCCTGTGGGAGGGATCTGACTGGGCATGGGAAGAGATGCTTGTGCGATGAATTTGACTCCGGATGAAGCAGCCACGATCTTGATGCAAGCTTCCATGGATCCATCACCGATAGCAACGCTACCGGCCAATTCCGATCCCTTGAGTACGCCAATAATATCCTGGACCGCGGTTGCACTGTGGTAGTCGAAAACGTGGGTGGCGCCCAGACTCTTGACGAAGTTGAAGTTCTTGGGCGATGCAGTGGTGATGACTTCGTATCCGGAAGCAGTAGCAAGCTGGATAGCGTTGGCGCCAACACTTGTTGAACCGCCCCATATCAAGACGGTTTTGCCCTTCTTTTCAGACTTGAGTGAAGGCGGGTCCAGTGCCAGGTAGGTCTTCATGTACAGTGCGCATGCAGCCGTCGAGATGGCGAGTGGGAGCACACACGCGTGTTCATAATCAAGGCTATCCGGTATCGGGGAAACAAGGTTTTCGCGTAGCACGACGTATTCTTGAAATGCGCCTTCGCAGGAACGGTTGCTTCGTTGGTCGATGCTTACGGCGTCACCGAGTACGCGGTCGCCAGGGTGGAAGCGTGTGACTTTGGATCCAACCTCGACCACCTCGCCTGCTACGTCGTGGCCGAGGATAAAGGGGTATTTTATCCAGGGCATCATGTTGTCTCCCATGGCTTGTTTCATGGCCTCGACAGGGTTGATAGCGATGGCTGCTGATTTGACAACTACCTCGTTCGGCCCGGGTGGTGTGTAGGGTGCTTCGCCAACATGCAACGGAAACACCTGCTTGCCCGCAAGCCAAGCGGCCCTGTTGGTAGGTGCCATCTTCGAAGTCCGAAAGTCTAGCGATCACAAACGGAGAGATGTTTCTAGTAATACTGTATGTATTGAAAACAAGATTGTAGAACCGTAAAACACAACAAGTTGTGTGGGACGAGAAGTATGTTGGATGTGTTGACTATCTCAGCTTGTTTCGTCGCGAGACTTCGTTTGGCGGAAGGTTCAGCAGGAGAAGTCAATTAATTTAAGAACTGAATGCTGGCGAGGGCATCTGAAGGCAGGAATGAAGCAGGGTGGACAACGGTCAGCAGATGGGATGCATCTACACACATATGTAGTATCTGATCACAGTGTCGCAAAATGGTACACATTCAATAGTCGGCCCGAAAGGAGCGGTAGTCGCGAATGGCGCAAGACTTACCAATTTGGTCTACATCAACCAGCCAAGCCATTGGTCCGGAGTAATCTAACCACTTATCGGACTTCCAAGATGCACCGTCCCGCTGATCTCGCCACCAGCTATCCAATTGGGTCAAATGATGGACTTTTCAACATAGATTGTCGCGCTTATTTTCTACATGGAAAAGGTAACGTTTTCAGGATTCAAGATAATCCTTGTAAGTCTTTACGGTTTCGATGACGGTGCTTTTTAAGGGAAGAAACTCTCTTCCAATGAGAGCCTTCGCCCTCGCGGCATCTACCTTGTACACGCCGCCTTCGGGATATCCAGCGATATGCCATGTGTCTTTCGCCGGCAGCCTTTCGCGGAGTTCTGGAAACTCTTCGTAGATGATCTCTATTACATCCTTGATGCAAAGCTGCTCCGAAGATGTGAGGAAGATGCGTTCGCTGGCAGAGTTTTCCTCTTCTATTGCTTTTACGTGTGCAAGAGCAGCGTCCGTAACGTTGATCCAGGTGTAAAGCCCGGTAGGGAAGATTTTACCATCAAGAAGCTTACTAAATATCTCATTAGAAGCATTCAGTGGCTCTGGTGGATAACCTGGATACCGGACCATTGGACCAAAGATACCAGGAGGAGTGAGGGTAGTCAATGTGAACCGAGGCTTTTCTCGATCCATAAACTCCCAAGCAGCACGTTCAGCAAACGTTTTGCTGGCACGGTATCCAGGAATCCAACTCGAGTTATCGAGTGCCTCTTCAAGTGTAATTGGATTCCAATCAGCGACTGTGTACGTATGTCCCGGCCAATTGCCCTTTGACCCATCGATCAAAGCAGCCATGGACGAAACATAAACTACGCGCTTGACGAAAGGTGCTAAGCGAGCTATGGAAGAGAGCAGGCCAGTCGTTCCAATAATGGATGGGTCCAATAGTTCTTTTTGGACGTCATTGCAGCTTCGCACGTTAGGACTAGCTGTGTGAATTACTGCATCGAAGACATGGTCGCCTTGGAAAACACAGTCGAAGGAACCGTGTTTTGCAACATCGGGCACAATGAAAAAATCAAGCTTGTCTTTTGGTAGGGTTGGATGAAGGGCCTTAATGCGGTTGATCCTTTCCTGGCTTCGAACGGTTGTAACTACGGTGTGGCTAAACCCACAGCTATCAGCACGACATCGTGAGACATGATCTGACAAAGGAGCTCACCTGCGTTCAAGGAGATGGTTGAGAACATGAGCGGCTAAAAACCCATTTCCGCCGGTAAGCAGAACATGCATTCTGCAATATTTCGGGCTGGTATGGAATCTCGGCGGGGGTATCGGTGTACGAGGTGGTTGTGGTAGTACACGAATCGAAGATCAGGAGGGTAGTCTGGCATAAACTCTTTAGTTTTGTTACTTCTAACTCGAGCTACAAAGACCATAATCAGTCGTAGCGATACACTAATCTCATCATTCGAGGTTCGGCACTTGACAATTGATACTCCGAGGGAGTAATAGTGGGCCCGCAAGCCAAGCAAAGAGTCTTGCGATTATGGATAGAGGGCGAACCTTATTGAATTCGCACTGAAACGACTATTTCACAAGGAACTCCGCGCATTCATTCGCACGGAAATGGTGTCCTGATCTCAGTTTTGTAGTACATGATACGGAGTTTCTCTCGGCTTGGCGTTCCGGCAATTTGTATTATCAGCTGCATCTTCCTTGGCACCCATTTAGGAGTGACATAAAGACCCTTAAGCTTGTGAGTGGTGGAGTAGTTCTTGTCAAATACGATAAGCACATCGATACACTAACCTCCGACTTCATCATTGCCACAGCTTCATTCCCATAGTCTCGTTTCGCTATATCGTCTTCAAAAATGGCAGCTTCAGCCAAGATTCCACTTGTTGATCTGGCGCCATACTTTGCCGAAGACGCCACCCCGGAAGCCAAAGAGCAAGTCGTCAAAGAAGTCTGCGACGCCGCCAGAACCTATGGATTCTTCAGCATCGTTGGCCATGGCATCCCCCTCAAAGACCAAGACACTACCCTAGAATGTGCCAAGAAATTCTTTGATCTATCTGCCGAAGAGAAGAAGGCGGTTTTCATTGAGAATTGTCTGGGAATCTCAAACCGTGGCTATGAAATGTATAGAGGCCAGACTTCAGAGCCAGGCACTCTGCCTGACATGAAAGAGGTGAGAGTCACCTAGGCTGTTATTCTTGGCCCTTCAACTAAACTCTTGTAGGGATTCGTTATCGGTGCAGAGATACCAAAGGACCATCCCGATGCTGGCACTTTCTTGACTGGTCCAAATCAGTGGCCCGAGGCTCTGAAATCCGAGGATTTCGAGAAGCCTCTTATGGAGTACCGCAACAAGATGGTCAAGCTTGCCGAAAAGGTTCTTAGAATCCTCGCTTTGGGTCTCCCCAAAGAATGGAACTGCTCACCTGATGTTTTCGATGAGTTCTTCATCAACCCATCGGGAAATCTGAGGCTGCTGCACTACCCGCCTCAGCTCTCTACCGATCCTAAACAGCTTGGAGGTAAGAATGCACTGTGCCATGACTATATGTTCGAGATTAGCTAACAGGCAAAAAGCCGGTGCTCACACAGACTTCGGTGGAATCACCTTCTTGCTTCAACAACCTGGTTCAAAAGGTCTTGAGGTCTTCTACCCCCCTACTGAAAGCTGGGTCCCAGTTCCAGTCACTCCAGATTCTTATGTGGTTAACATTGGCGATCTGGTCCAGAAGTGGACAGCTGGTTACTACCGCAGCGCTTTACACCGTGTTATCAACTTTGGCGAAAACCACCGTTATTCCGCTCCGTTTTTCTTGAACGGCAACATGAAATTGAAGATTCAACCTCTCAACGGGTCTGGACAGGAATTCGGCGTTCGGGACCATTTCATGTGGAGGTTGAAGACTTCTCTTGGTAAAGAGAAGAGTAAATTCCTGGAAAAGGAACCAACGGCGCAAGCAGTTGCAGCATAATGTTGTAATTACGTACTTCAAATACTGCTGCATGGAATAAATCCAACTCATTTTTGCACTTCAACTCTTTTTTCTTCAACTAAACCAATGCAGTTGATGCACACCACACTCGAAACGAGATCTCAACCAGGCGAACAACATTGCGATGGTGAATAAACCACGCTCTCACATGGACCTCGAGATACGCGAGATGAAGTGACGATTACAATACAACGTGTTGCACAAATCATAGTTTGTAGAGCTTTGTGCATCTCCGTATATATAGATTTCGACTGCAAGCTACTTAGGTTTTCATTCTCTTGGTCCCGATCGTGACGATATATTAAACAGCTCCTGAATACAACTATCATGAGGCTTCTCACAAACTCAACGATCATTCAGCTATTACTTGTCTCCTTTCTAAGAATCAGTCATCAAGGGGATGCTAAAAACTAGTGCAATACAGCCCTACGTATATTTCACGCCTAATCCTCTCGCATTTCCTTATCATAGACAATAGAATACCAAGATTGGTTGCCATTTCACTTGTCCCCTCTGCTTCCTGCATTTACTCTGCACATTTTACGTGTTGAACTCGACCTCTCTTTCTACGAAGCGACCAAAACATCTATTTAGGTCTAGCAATTATTGTTGTTATATTCGATGTATGCACGAATAACGAACCTAGAACCTAGGAGCAGTACGAGCTCCATCATTTATGAACTTTTAGGATGCCTTGGGCTTAGGCCTCACGTCCTTCCAGCCCATCCAGCAACTTACAACGACGCCCAGAATCGACATGCCAGTACCAAAATAGAATGTAGTTCCTATGCTGTCACTGTATGCCCTCAGCAGAGATGGTAGTTCCCCTGCATTAACGAGACCTCTCATTCGTGTTACACCAGCCTCAATGATCTTCTTCGAGTCAACAGTGGGCAGATCACTCTTAAGGTTGTTCTTCAACTCATTTGTAAAAATAGTCTGACCAATAACAGTCATTAGAGCACCGCCGATCTGCTGAGAGAAGACGAAGATAGCGAGAGCCACTGGAACTTCGGTAGGCAGAAGGGAACTCTGTAACGCGATCATTGGCTGGGAGATGTTAGTTATAAGAGATACTGGACGGAGGCTGTGATAAAATTACCATCGGAAGCGCAAGACCTCTCCCAGTTCCGGAAATTAGTTGATATCCTACTAGCTTTGCAACACTTGTCGAAGTCGAGACTGTGGTGAACAGGCCAGATCCAATGGAATTCAATGCCCCACCTACAAGGATGAAAGGCAAATAGTAACCGAATCTTTGCACTACGGATCTGTTAGCAGACTAGGTTGTGATATAGGACGGGCATCTTACCAAGTTTTCCGCTCACAATAGTGAACACGATCTGTGTCATAATTGTAGGAAGAAAATTGTAGCCACTTTCAAAAGGTGTATCGGCCTTGACGCCTTGAAAATACAGAGGGAGGTAGTACGCTGTCACAAACACTGTGCCCGAAATGATGAAGATCGTCGAGCAGCATGACCATACGATCCGTTTCCCCAGCATTGAGAAGGGTATCAGAGCAGACATGCCCTTGCGATAGTTCCAAAAACAGAAGATGGCGAACATGACTCCGGTTCCGCAGAAGAGGCCAATGACTTCCTGGCTGTCCCAAGCGTATCGATTTCCGCCAAAGTCTAGGACGATGAAAAACATGATCGCAGCGGGACCAAACAGTCCAAATCCGATGAGGTCAAATTCCCGCATCGGATGCTTGAGAACTTCCTTCCAGTGGGGTTTAACAAGGATTTCGGGAACGTTCAAGAATAGGAGGGCAGCGAAAACAAGAGCACCAGCGGGAAGGTTGATGTAGAAGCCTGAAAAGTGTCAGTAATAAATATGACCGGGCAAAAAGCACACATACACCATCGCCATGACACAAACTCCGTGATGGCTCCTCCTATAAGGGGCCCGCTAGCAGATCCAAGGTTTCCGACTAGTTCTGTTAGTAGATTGCTTGTATATCAGCTTGCCTAGAACTCACAGGCCATGAAAAATCCTAGCATTCCGGGTCGACGTTCAGGAGGAATGGAGGCATGTATCATCGTGAAACCTCCGTTCATAAGTCCAGCACCCCCAAGTCCAGCAATGAATCGTCCAGCAATCAACATGGCTGATGTTTGCGCAGCACCACAGATAGCAGACCCAATATTGAAGATTGTGAAGAAACCGAGGAAAATCTTCTTTGAGTTGAAACGAGCGTACATCTTTCCGGTCAGAGGCTGGAAGGAAGCACTAGAATGCGAGTTAGGAAGATAACAAGTATTAGAAGAGATGACACCTACGCGCATAGCTGATAAGCAGCTCCATACCAACCCACATCAAGGAGGGAATTAAACTCGTCCGTTATGTGCGGGATTGCCTAGATCCCAAGTCAGAAATAATTTATCTTAAGCCGGCTGGAAGATGAACTTACAGTAGAAAGAATCGACATGTCCAGCATCATGAGGAAATATACAAGCGTCATGGAGATTAAGAAGGCCCATCTATGTAAAAGTAGAATATTAGCTTATTCTAGCGCAAATGCATTATTGTTCTCTGATATCACGAGCTAACTATGGTCTCGTGATGCCTCATGAACGTCAGATGCTGGGGAGCGCCATTTCGCTGTACTTACAGTCGGAATCCAGAGAGATAGGAAGGCGCCGGTGGGTCAGCAACAAGCGGTTTATCAAGCTCAGAGGTTGTTTTGCTCCCCGCAGAAGAAGGTACCTCTTTCATCGCCATTGTGAACTGGTTGCATGAGTCATCCACCATCGCGTTGATGTCATAATCCCAGATCTTGTGCGATCGATCATGGATCTCCTGGGCAATCTTCTTGTGATTGGAAAGACACTCCGGGTTTTGGTATTCGTAGATCTCACCAATGACTCGGCTGGTATCCATGATCCACTGGGACCGATCATAACGGACGTTGTTATAAACCTCGAGGGCAACGCGGGCAGCTGTAGGGCGCAGAGTCTTGGGATACTCCGACACCTGTTGCAAAAGGATGGCAAGGGCGAGGCAGTCCTCTATGCCACATCCTGCACCAGCGCCGTGGTGGGGTGAAGAAGCATGCGCTGCATCGCCCGCTAGGCAAAGACGACCGTTAACATAGGAGGGTACAGGCTCTTTGCGTGTGTCAAATACTGCCCATTTGTCCAGATTCTCAGGCAACAGAGCCATGAGATCTTGGACCACGGGATTAAACTTTGAGAACGCTTCAGTCGCCTCGGCCTTGGTAGCTGGAACAACAAACTTGTTGTCTGGTGCTGTCCACTCGTCAAGGTCGGTGACGAAAGCGACAACGTTCAGGATCGTGTTGTTTGCCACTGGAAATGTCAAGGCGTGAGCACCAGGACCACAGTGCATTACACGGTTGCTGGTCTTGAAGACTCCTAGAGTGGCCCTAGCCTTATCCATCGGTACAAGACTCCGAATTGCGTATTTGTGGCTATAGGAAGGAGTGCACGCGGGGTGGTTGTCTCCAAGAATAATTTCTCTCATCTTCGAATGGATCCCATCACAACCAATCACTGGAGCTTGTCAGCGCTTGATCTGCTTATACGTTTGGAAGATTTACCAATGTCGGCCGTCGCAGTTGTGCCATCTCGGAATGATAGGTGAATCCTCTCATCCTCATCATTTTCAATCACAGAGACGAGATCCTTATCATGCTGAATGTATTCTGACGGGACCAATTTTACCATCTCAGCCAGGTAGTCAGATCTTCGACACCCTTCAAACCCACGCTCGCCTAGATACAATTTAAGAATTGTTTCTTCGAATTTAGGATCTTCCTTGCTGCTGTGGTAGCCATCTAGATAGTAGAAGTAGTCCTCATCGTTCTGCGCGGCAACCTTGCGGAACGCGGCGTGAAGAGCTGGGTTCAGCGCCGTCATGGCCCGTTCGGCGTTTGGAGTGAAGCCAATTCCAGCCCCGACCTCGCGAAATGTATGCGCTCGCTCATATATGGTGAATCTGATATTACGCTGAAGAAGGCCAGTAGCAAGCGCCAGGCCAATAATTCCACCGCCAATGATCGCGACCTCGAAATGGCCTTCATCGGAGACCTCGACGACCTCGACCTTGGTGTTGGGTTGTACCATTTTGCGACTCTTCGTGATATCGCGAAACTGCTGCTTGGGGTTCGGCTCAGAGGTTTCAAGGATGGGAGGTGATGATGAGTGCATGAAGGGGCGCATAATAGGGTACTGTTTCTCCTGCGCGTACGTGCTGGGCACGCTTGTGCCACAGCGCCATACCACGATCAGATACTCCGATGCCCGTTTTCAGTGCATGTTCGGGCCAATTATGGATTATTTGATCGAAGAATCGATTGAGTGCGGATGCCGCACGTTAAGATCGGTGAGAGTCGGAGGCACAGGAGTGGAGTCTGGCGGAGTTCGGAGTTTCTTTATTCAACCTACCATCACAGCAGTAAGGCCGACGTATAGTCCATGGGCTTGGATCCAACACTAGAGATAATGAATGAATGAGTTATCGGATTTAACTACAAGTGAGCGGGCCTTAACAATTGAAGACACAACACATCAATCATCAACTTCATCAAACTTCTTCATTCTAACCAGCAAATTCACCATGTCTGGCTTACCCCGAGGTGTCGATGTCCTTGGACAGTTTCCTCAACTCAAAACATACAACCATGGCGTCGCTCTCTTTCCATGGCGCGAAGACCTTACCCAAGAAATAGTAATCTCTGCACTTAGAGAAGCAACTGGCAAAATTCTCGCGGCAATTCCATGGCTCACTGGACAAGTTGTCCATACAGAAGGTGAAAACGGGACTTCTGGCACAATCCGTGTTGAGCCATGGCCAACGGACATTCCTCCTCACGGCCTCCTCAAGATCAAAGATGCAACCGATCTTTTACCATCCTACGCTGAGATGTGTGCTGCAAATGCACCATTCTACATGCTGGATGGAAAGGTACTCTGCCCTTACCCAGGATTTCCTGAGCGATACGACACTGCAGTAATCGGACCTGCACCACCAGCTATGATTCAAGTTACATTTGTCAAAGGAGGCTTTCTTTTGACATACACGAATCAACACAATGTTGTTGATGGAACCGGTCTTTTCACAATCATCACACTCCTCTCCGCGGCTCTTCGCGACGAGCCTTTCCCAGAAGATATCATTGCCGCTGCAAACCAGGATCCAGGTGATGTAATTCGCCTTTTGGATCCATTTGAGCCTATTCTCGATCATAGCTGGCTGCTCAAGCCTGATCCAGCACCCGAGTTTGTCCCCGCACGTCCCGGTGGAAGGTGGCAAAACTTTCTCTTTCGTAAGGAAGCACTCGCAGACCTCAAGAAGCTTGCCGAAGATCCTGTTGGATATGATCCGGACGTTCCTTTCATCTCTCCAAATGACGCTATTTGCGCCCTATTCTGGAAGTCACTAGCCTCAGTGAGAATAAAAACTGGATTAGCACCCTCGACAGTATCGAAGTTCAACCGCGCCATCGACACACGACCGGTACTTGGAGTTTCTCCAGGTTATCTAGGTCAGATGGTGTACATATCTCCATCGCGCCTCACGTTCCAAGAGCTTGTTGACGCACCACTCTCTACTGTTGCGACTCGACTGCGCAAGGATCTCGACGATGTGAACAACGCCTTCTCTGCTCGCTCCTATGCCACCTTTGTTGACTCTGTCGATGATAAGATGCAGCTTATGTATTCCGGAGGAATGAATCTTCAAACCGATGTTGGTCATTCGTCAATGATGAATGCGAAGGTCAATGGATTCGACTACGGTATTCTGGGGAAATCAGACTTCGGACGTCGTCCTCACCTGCCATTGACAGTCAACACATTCTATATCTATCCTCAGGAAGCAAATGGTGATTATCTCATCCTCGTCTGTCTGCCAGACATGGAGTTGAAGGGACTCATGGAAGATCCTGATTGGAGTCGCTGTACGTATGTGATTGAGGAGAAATACTAGAGGACATCATTGAAGGTATATGACTCTCTCATTCTGTAGCATATTCTAAGTTTATGATCAACCGAAACCCACGTATTATTTTTCGCTAAGAATTAGTACATAAAGAGAATTGAAATATAAGTGTAGCAAAACGAGTGACTAACGTGTGGAAGATGAATTGACTTAACTTGAAATAGTGCATTAGAGTCGAGATGGAACTATACGAGATCGCAGACGACCGAACATCGATGCTAGGCACTTTACGTTTGATTTTCTCTCCCATCAGGCAATATGCTATTCGTCAGAACTCTGTACTCGGGAATCAAACGAATCATAATCATTGGTTGTTATGATCTGCAATTCGCTTCATTCAGCTACTACTGTCCAGTGGGCGTAGTAACAGATAATTAATATGCAAAATATCCGGTAAAGCTCAATTTTGGCCTCACGCCGTATGCCTAGTCGCAAATCCTTGGTATGCAATAAAGTGCTGAAATTGAAGGTAACATGCAAGATAACACGTCACACCTTTAGACATGGATGTAGAAATGGACTCTGTATGTAACTATCAAGTGTTTTAACACATAAAAAGTACATTTACGCATCAAAGCTGATGAAAAATCAGCCTCCCGCTACATACACTTCCTCTTATATCAAACGTTGCCTATTCCCAAACTCCAACACACCAACGATCAAGATGCATATTTTCTCCAGCCCCACTCCGGTCGCCACCCTACTTCTTGGCGCCAACGCATTTAAATGCGTTGGCGACTATGTCGACAATGCTGCTATCGAAGCCTGGTGTGATAGACTTGGCGGAAACTTTGTGGGTGGTAAAGACAGTCACACCGACTCGATCTCTGAGCAGCTTTCCGACATCCGGAATTGCTGTGAAAAGAGGCAGCTTATTTGTGATTGCGATTGCCCCACTTATATACAGAAAAAGACGTACGTCTCTATGATTGATTTTGAGATGAACTTGTACTGATGGTTAGACGGCTTCGGGGCGTAAAGGTCTTTTGAAGTGTCAAAAACGAAAATAAATTACAAGGAGTAGAAGCTAGAAGGTTGCCAGCGTGTTCCTTGTAACTTTTACCGATCGTTTATGTTCTTTTTGAGGTGATGAATTGGAAGACTGCGGTCTATGTCCAAAGTGAATAAGCTAGATGGGCAATAAACACGATAGCCCTCAACGGCAACTAAATGTATGTATACATTTCGTCGGCTTTCTAAACTTTTTTTGTAACATGACAGAGCTACGTTTGGATGTGCTGACCATCAGTAGTGTCGCTCCATGAAAATTTACGGTGCCCCTATGGACCCCAATATCGTGTTTAGTGTTCATACTCCGAATATGTCTGCCGCGTTTTCGACATGATGGCAATCTTTGCATGTTTTTGCAATTATTTTCTGTCATCCGTGTTCAAACATAGTCCCGTAGGTTGGAACCGTGGATCTCAGTGTTGTGTGTGCGTAGGGCTCTCCACCGCACAATCAATACGCCATGTCTCCTTTCATGTTCTTGATTAATTCAATTTAGCAACAGTGGGCTCGCCAGCAAGTGGGCAAAATGACCACTGAAAATGACTGTCAAAGAAGTGAAAAAATTTCGCAACCCCTCAGGCTGTCGAGTTCTGCCTTTCCATGTCTCGAGCTCACTTCGACTCGAGGGTGCCGATTTTGTGCCTGGGTCATACATCGGCTTTTTGGTAGCATGTAATTAGTTTCAAGATCGGCTATTGTCAGACTGTTAGCCTCAGCTGAACAAGTATGCAACGCTAATAGACGGGCGGGTCATTTCTCTGCTTTTGGCGTATCTTTACCCGCCTTTTTAGTTTCAAAGGAGTTCAATGAATCATTGACTTGTTTCTGTAAGAGAACTGACCTATTGATTGTATCTATGCACAGTGCTGCCTATCGCTCCTGTTGTGTACTACTCCCTTTGTCTTTGTGGGTATGTTTTATGTCTACATCCCAGCTAAACAAAGTAAACTTCCATGTCCCCCAACCAAGCTGAAAACTGAAGTGACTTGATATTCCACCAGTACCGATATCTGTGGCGTCTTTGGGTCTAGTTACAACTGCCCACTCCTGCTCAGAAACGTTGTCGTCCTGACTTGGAGACTGCGTACACGAATGGGGTGACGAATCAATAACATTAGGCACTTATCAAGGATCTTAGTTATGTATACAGATGTTTGGAGAAGGGGATGCCTAGAATAATAGTACTTGGCGTCTTATCCAAAGTTGATTCTCCATCTGCATTTTTCTGATCTTGGTTGCTACCGACCAGGGACTTAGTCCTAGACTGCATTGCCTTGTCTCTTTCTGCTATATTTTAGACTATACACTAGGAAGACAGAAATCGAAAAAGGTTGTATAAGGACAGAATACCTTGTGAAGAACGAGAACAATCCCCTTGTTGTGACATATGAAACGTAGAAAGAAGTAACGCCCTTCGTGCTAAGTGTATGTTTAGTGTGATAGAAGGGTACGAATTGGTGCATGAATATCTGTAACGATAAATGGGATGGGATAAAGGCGAAGGCAGTGCAGATCAAGTTTTTAAGGTCAGTTGTGGTGCAATCGCCTTCTAGCGTTATGCGTAAGTATGATGACATAGTTTAGTAGGTAATCTGAAGATCTCATTGGACTACCTAGGAATGTGATCTTACCTGCATGAAGGGAGTAGCGTCATTGGCTGTGTCTGCCCGGCCATGAGATTGGAGGGCGCTCATGCGAGACCTATATGTTCTCATGCACTAACGCATCCTTTGCGTTCCACACGGGCGTTACTCTATAGGTAAGCATGCCTGTTCTCGCCTGCAGCTAAAAAGGATGTAGTACCCACTTTTTGGCTCAATACGCAGCGTGCATCCGAGCATACATTACTAGTGGACGCTTTAATACGAGTGACTACTTACTAGAATAGTATATATAAGTCGTGAACACCTCCAATAAGCTCTGCAACCAACCTTTGTTATGCCATCCACCCCGCCGTTATCAGCTAACTTAGAGCGCTCTACTATAATCGTAATGCGTACTAGACCCTTCTATCTCGGAAATTCGACGACGCTTTCGGGGTAAATCCATTTTCTCTACATATCTATATATAACGTCATCTAAATACCTTCTTGTTTATATTTATAATCCTCTTTATGTTAGTAAACTAGATACACGTAGAATTTTAGAGATAAAAAGATAAAAAATAAGACTTTAATAATCTATTAAGACTATAAAGAATAATGATTAATGGAAATAGCGACGATGCGTGGCTGTCCTTAGTAGCACCTATCGACACAATTGCTGCCAACCACCTTTCTATATGATCCCATGCCGCATCTTGAGACATTAGGGATCTAGCGGCGCCTTAATAACCTCCTTAAATCCCGCAATCTGCGCACGCAGCCATGGCAGTTCCCGCAGCTGCCATGCACGCTGCAATGTCAAGGGGCTCTATCTCCGGCGCACCAATACAAGTAGCGCAGACCGCGACAGAGGCAGCAAATGCCGACGCGCATTTTAGAAGGATATTAATAAGACAGAGCTCTCTGCTAGATAGAACATAGTGCTCTCTGGCTGCACATATACCGAGCCAATTACACCCATTGAGCTCAAGGTGGTGAACCACGCACCAATCATGAACGAATTTCTGTTTAAACTACTAACAGAGATCACTAGCTTAGCCAGGTGCGAAATAACGCTATAGCTGTAGTCAGCTCTAGATCGATCACAACTGAAGGCGTCAATCATACTCTGTTTGACCAGGAGTTAGCGTGTTTTTCAGAGTGAAGTGTACGCACGCAGCCTGCTAGAGACCGCACTTACTACAGCATTAGTCACACCGACGCCGTTGCACTCGTGGGTAAGTTGAGGCTTAGCGACGACTTGGGTGGCGAGCAGGGTCAACAATGTAGCCCAGCTTGGAAGCTGCATTTTGTTGGCCGTGTCTAGTTCTCGAGCAAGTCTATGTGGAGACAAAAGTTGATAACTAGATCGAGATACGGGGACGTTGCGAGTCTGGTGAAGGATTTGAAGGGCTCACAAGACTATGGTAAATAGAGCTTATTGTAAGTAGTTAATATTGTGCGAAAAACAGTCAGACTTTATACAACATTTTTGGAGTCTCACTACTAATGGGCTGCAGATTGTATCTACCGGAGGAGTTGGGAAGAAGTCAACTCGCGGCACTACCTACCCAGGTGCATAGATGCCCTGGAAGATCTGTTCTTCAAAGACCCGCGTTTAACACGCCGAAGCATAGTTGAAATAACCAAACTCTAAAGATACTTTGCTGAGCGGCACGCTTTAGTGAGGGGAGTTTAATAAAGTCTAAATCTCGTATAAAGCCTACTCTAGACAACATAGCGGCTTATAAGTGCTTGCTGCAAGTAAGTAATTTCGAAAGGTTATACGCTGCGTATACACACGGGATACACTGCATAGACACATAGCATACACTGTATTATAGTATAGTATTACGTAACTAGCTCGTAGTATATATTATAATCTTCTTTTATATATATAGATAGGCATCTTCTTTAATTAGTACTTCATAGTGCCTAGCTATTAGCTTATTCTATCTATTTAATTATAAGTTAGCTCTTTCATAGTTTAAGCTTAATTATATATTATACTATAATATATAAATAGGCGCTCTAGTAGATCTATACTTAACGTAAGCTTGAGATAGATTTTTCTTCTTTATAGTACTATAGATGTTTCTAATCTTATTACATATATAGAATTATAGAGAATAATATATAGAGTTATAGTATAGAGCGAGTGGAATAAGGAGTGACGCGACTCGATGCTTATCCAAGGGTGAAGGACCATTGCCACTCGCGCACTACCTCTTCCCAGTCACGTCTCCGCCCGCCTTGAAGCTTTGGCCGCCAAACCTCCTTGAGAACCTTCTGGACACACTCTACATTCTCATAGCGATTGCGTTTTTGAATACCGTCCAGTCTTGTGAAGCATTGCTCAATAGCTGCTTCATCGTCCAGCTCTGCGCCAGCTAGGAATATTGGGTAGAGTAAGCTTGACTCAGCAGCACTTCCTGGGGGGATGCGAGCAATGAAATCCATGGTTCGGGATGCGCAGCCGGGAATGAGATGAGAGTGACTTGTTGAAGTACGGTAAAGTTGAATGAGGGCGGCAAGACGGTAGGCTTCTGCGAGTGAGACGAGGTCGAGTGCTATGGTGGTATCGACGCCTAATGCGAATGGATTGTCATAACTCCAATGTTGTATGCCCTGCTCTATCACATGAAAAGAAGCTTCTGTGGTCAGCGGAAAAGCTGGGTTTGAAACGTTGATGTATTGGATGCGGGAAATGAGGTCACACAGCTGGTACGAGATGCCCATGAGAGGATCAATAGTGCCTGGCATAAGAGCAGCGCTGATTGAGAGCAAGCCTTGGTCAGGTGAGCCAGCCTTTCCGGGATTGGAAACGCGGGCCATGAGTGAGGCAGAGGCAAAGTGGTATGTAAAGTGGCGATGTAGAGAGTCGACCTCGACGCAATCCATGATGGTCTGCTCTGGGGAAAGTGAGTTTAGAATGCGCTGAACACTCTTCAACTGAGATATCCATCTAGTCGTCTTGACACCATTGAGAGCTTCCAGGCCAACCAAGATTAAGATGACGGCCGTGACTTGATAGGTATCCTTTGGTAGTCCACCAGAGGGGGACAAGCGCTCCCGAATAAAGTCGTAACACCTCTTCTCATGGCGGGTTGAGACTGCTCGCAGATGGCTGGCACGATTGTCATCGTGACTTCTTCGTGCCAGCTGAGCGGAGGAAATGGCGAGTATGGCATCTAGCATACCTTCAATCTGAAAGGACCAAGGCATGTAGAGGCTGGTGTAGAAACTGGTAGGTATTGGGGCTACCTGGACACTGGGTACGAAAGCCTCTACGTAGTATTGCAGCAAATGCATTCTTTCAGCTCTGTGGTCTCCGGGCAGGGCATCCCATGGATCGAGGCCAGGGCGTAAAGAAAGCGTAGTGTGGAGATTGGGGCTTTTGGACGCAGAGGGCGGAGAGGATGGCTCTGAGACAATCTTGCGTGGAGGCTGCCACTCGCACTTGAGGTTGAGTCGTGCACAGTTGGCACATTGAGGCTGCGCGTTATCGCATCTTTTGCGCCGAGTTCGACAAGTCAAGCAGCCTGTGCGTGACCGGGGGGCAAATTTGCGCTGGCGCGGCTTGGGCTCAGCCATGGTCCGAAGGTTCAGGAAACGGTGAGGGGCTCGTCTGAGATAGTCACCTGGGAGACATGAGGATGGGCATGACTATGCAAATGCTGTCTGTTGTCGGCGGGTTGTAATGGTGGGCGGGTCAACTGTCGAGATGGTGGGTCGGGTATCGATAAGCACGTGTGTGACTAATCGGAGCGACGGAGGCTTGATTGGTTGGCTGGGGGAGAAGAAGTGGCGGTTGCAGTTGCATGGGCGGTGAAGTGGGTGGATGTATCGTCACTACCACCATCACCACCACTACAACGCGTCCGCATGGCAGGCCCAAGTACATGTACATGTGTACTAACTTGGAGGAATACAGGCACACATGGCATTACTCTCAGTATCGGCGTGAAGGATCCCGCCCAGTCGACGCCGCAGTGCGAGCAAGCCAGCCAGCCAGTTGCTGGTCTTGCCCCCACGTGTATCGAGTACCTGAGCATCCTTACCGCCTTAGGAAGCATCGCCTTGTCCTCATCTCCGATACTAACGCTCTTGGTCAATACGAGAGCTTCATGCACCATGGGTACATGGCCGCCGTACGCGTATAAGAGTGCATACACATTCCCAGCAACATGGCTTCTGTAGCCCCCGTCCACCTCTCCAGTTCCATCGACGGCCATGAAGCTTCTCGCATTGGCTCTTGCAGCTAGCAGCACTGCAGCTGCCGCCCAGCAAGATTTCAGCATCTTTCAACACATTGGCGGCAATGCGCAATGGTATCCGGGCGAGGAGACAACCGGCATCTCGTCCGAGGTGCCTGAGGGATGCAAGGTTGATTTGGCAGGTAATGTTGCCCTGCTGCCCGCCAGACCATCGGATAAGTCAAACTAACACCTTTCTAGCTTTCTTCTCTCGCCATGGTTCGCGCTACCCGGACAGGGGTGCCTACAACGGATGGGTGGAATTCTCAAAGTACATCCAGGCCGCCGGTAACTTCACCGTCACCAACCCAAAGCTTGCTTTCCTCAAGACCTGGAAGCCCGTCTTGTCCAACCCTGAGGCTCAAATTGCCAATTTGAGCCCAACTGGCTGGAAGGAGCTCCACGAGATGGGTACCACCTGGCGCCTTCGTTACCCCGACTTGTACGAGTACAACACTCCCTTTACCATGTGGTCCAACTATTACACTTCCGGGCCCCGTGTACGAGACAGCGCTCGTCTGTTCGCACAAGGCTTTGTTGGTCCCAATGCCACCGACCTCACCACTATTTATGCTCTTAATGCAAGCAATCCCGCTAGCTGGGGCAACTCTCTCGCCCCCAGCGACCTTTGCAAGGCCTACGACGACGACGAGGGTAGCCCTGTCAAGCCAGTATGGGACTCGATCTACCTCACACCAATTGCCGCCAGACTCAATTCCCAGATCCACGGAGGCTTGAACTTGACAAACGGCCAAGTCGATCAAATCCCATATTTGTGCGGTTTCGAGACACAGATAACCGGCCGGCGTAGCCCATTCTGCGACATTCTTACCGAGGAGGAGATCCTGCAGTACGAGTATGCTCAGGACCTGCGCTACTGGTACGGCACTGGTCTCGGCTCAGATATCGAGAAATACCAGATGCTACCAGTCATCGACATGGCTGTGCAGCGCTTTGTCGACGGTCCTAATGCAACCTACAAGACTGCCAACGGGACCTTCAATCCGCCCAACATCATGGCCAACTTCGCCAACGATGGACAGATCAACCAGCTTGCTGCCATGATCGGTGTTTTTGATAGCCAGCCTCCACTTCCCGGTAACGCGTCACTTCCTGATCGCTTGTTTCGATCTTCTCAAGTAGTCAAGATGCGTGGAACAGTTGCTTTTGAACGCTTGTCCTGCCCAGCCGCTGCTCCCAGCAGCACCTCCCGTTACCACCAGAGGCGCAATGGCACAAACCTGAATGATGTGTACATGCGCATCCGCATCAATGATGTCGTTTACCCCATCACAGGATGTACTAGCGGGCCAGGCTCTTCGTGCCCCTTGTCAGAATACCAGCAAATCATCCAGAGAAAGCGTGCTGAAGCTGGCGATTTTACCAAGATTTGCAACATGACTGATGTCAATCTTGCTTCTCAGCCAAAGGCGACTTTCTTTTTCGACAACACACTACCTTGGCAGGTAGTTGTCAAAGCCTGACCATGTCACCTGTATGTGCATACTGTATGGAGAAAGCCATTGATTGAAGCGGCAACGACATATCTTTGATAATAATACTATCATGTTTAATGATGACAATTTGTATCTTGGTGGCGCATCCTCGCTTCTATACTCGCCGCAGTCGCGCCCTGTTCTTCGCTGATATCACTTGTCAATGTGAGTCATGTGGTGTTCATGTTCTCTATTGACGCTTGGTCTTTGACATGCAAAGGGCGCGTAATTGCTAGCCCACGTCTCGCTTAGCAAATCTCGATAAGGCGCGCGCCCTACGCCCAACTTGTCAATTCTCGTGTTCCACACGTTACTCACTTCTTGCTGGGATGTATCCAGTAGCACACTGCACACCACCCCTGCATCGACAAGGTGAAGTGACCCGGCTTTCGGGTGGTTGGCTGCAGAAACCAGGTAACCTCACGTCATTCACCGTTTGTAAAGTTAGCCGCATCCCAAACTGGGAGTGAGTGGCTTGAACATCATGCACGCTACTGGCTATACTGTGGGGACGCGGAGGTATGCCAGTCTCCGCTCGAGCCATGTTTGACTTTTAGACGTGACGACTGAGAGATTTGTAACTTTTGGCACAGCAAAAGGGCGTGATCGTGTAGAATAATGCAGTCACAAGGTTGGAGCTTGCAGAGCTTGACTAAGTACCAGCGAACGGTAAAGTAAAGAGCCGTATATAAAGAAGTGTGATGCCGACCCAAGATCAATAAGAGCCATCACTGGGACCTAAGGTATTACAGACGCAATCGCGCCCACACACACACTGATTGCACTGCGGCACGGCTACACGCAAGGACACTCCAGTATCCCTGAACCGGACAAATCACAACCCATATTTCCTTTTCGTGCCTTTCTCTGGCAACCATCACAACCAACACGTCGCATCGTAACAAGAGGAAACAGGGCCACTCAATTCACCTGCAAAACCTTTAGTTCAAAACACCAACTCGGCCAAAAAGTACCATACCAGACCACAAAAACTCCACAACACGTTCGCCAGCCATGTCCGTGTCTGCAACAACAACACCTCGCACATCGACTGACAAGCTGAACCCCTGGAAATCGCTTTCTTCTGCTACATCCATCACCTCCTCTACATGCGGATCCACACTGAAAGAGCCAAGCAAGACACGAAGCTTATGGATCTCTATCAAGCGACATACACGAGAACACCATGAAAGTCTGAACGCGGCGTATGCGACATACTATGGTCAAGGAAGTCATCTGGATGAGCATCGTGATGGAAGGAACCAAGAACTCTGGCGATATCGCCGTGGTGGGTATGCCTGAGTTTCATCTTTCCGATGATTGTAAAGGATAGGGGCAATTGTTCGAGGGTCTGAACTAGGCTGCTTGGACGTACTAGTTGATAAGCAACTTGGCTTCGATAAGATCTGATTTATCTTTTCTACATTGGTTGGCAATATTTCTGTACTTTAGCAACACTCAATCGTTCAATGGGAATCCTTTACTTCTTCCTTTCTTTACGCGTTCACCTGATACATGTTCCCCATCTCCAACCCTTTATGTCTGTGTTGAGATCATCAATGGACTCTTGGAAATAATACTATAATATACAATACATTGTCCAAGGGAATGGCCACCTTCCTTGTTGTACTCAAGGGGTGACAGCAAAACAACGCCGCTATTCGTTCATGAGTTACCCGAATTTGTGCGGCCATCTTCACGAGTAGCCTGCAAGTCATTTCTGCACTGCATGCTGCATTTATTAAGCGTTTTTCATAGAAAAGCCTTCGGTTCAGATCATTACCCCTGTCGCGGGGATACTGTGTTCGAGACTTCCTTCTTTGAACACGCTTGTCTCAAGTTTTAAGTAGTGAAAAACAGAGTGGGTGAGAGTGAACTTAGGCATATAAACAAGGATTATGGACTGCTTAAAGTTCAACCAGCTGTGGCATATCCGAACTTCCTGCAAAACTCCTTCAACAATGTGCTGCCCTCGAGAAATTCGTGCTGCACAACAAACTTTAGAAAGCTGAAGCTGCAAACTTCTAGACATCTACTATTAAAAGGATACGAGTAGCGAACGACACCAACAAAACCAATGTACGGCCACCCTATGGTGTATTCAGTGCAGCATGGGCCCTGTGGATAATGTCTGGGTGCGCATAGTTTGTCCACGAATCGAAGGATTGCTTAGGATCAGTTGGTGGCGGCGCCTCCCTGCCGGTGAGATTTCCTGGTGTTTTTGCTGCCCCTCACAGATGAGCTGCGTACTCCCACGCCAGCAACATGACAACACAGCACGTTGATACAAAATACCCAAGACTCTTATGTAAGCTTTTCTCTATCCCATGGAGTGATATCTGTATCACAGTAAAACATGTACCCAACTGAACTATGGGAAATCGACCCATGTAAGCCACACGAGAGCTCCATTCAGGACATTAACCGGGGGCCAAATGGGCTAATATCGAAGCCACAACTCCTAAATGGGATTCGCGTCAGATCAGTCGAATCAAAAGGTCTCTCGTATGTGCTAATGTCCATCCACCCGACGAATATGATTACCCAATCACGTCCTGCCGCCAAATTATGTATGCCTCCCAGCCTCAGCCTCAAATCGTCATGGCACCAAGCAACTACAAACAAGCCAGTGCTGTCGTAAAAGGGATTTCATGCTCTGGAGGGGCAAGCAGTCACTAACACTGCAAACGGGGAACCTGACTGTGAGGCCTCTCTGAATCATGGCTTCACGAAAGGCGCATATGATGCAAAATTTGTTCCAACCCATGTCGAGAGAGATGTCGCGTCAAACACAAGGGAGAAGTCGACCATTACTACCGCGCAATGGGAGGAGCTCGAAAGCAGATTCCGTCATGTTTGTTGGTATTTGTCTCGCTATCGTAGCCGTTCTGGCAACACCGATGGTTTGGGTCTGGATGAGAGACCGCATCAGGAGACGCAAGCTGGATCCCTTCAGAAAGCTCCGCGATCTCGAGCATACTAACGGGGAAGATGCAATTTTGAACCCACCTCCTTATGAGCGTCCGCCAGTTGTCGATTCCATATGGGCGAGGCAAGAAAGGTACAAGACATCGAAACCTGCACGAGCCGTCACAGCCGATCGAGTCTTGGGCATTGACAAGGCTTCATACCTACAACGTATCGTGCCACAGAGCGGTTCGTCAAATTATTCAAAGCGTATTAGCTTTCACTGATTAGTGTATATAGAGGGCTCATCTCAGCTACTCACTGTAGCTCCTGCGCATCTTGGCTGGGCGAGACAAAGGGTCAGTGGAACGAATGGCGAAGAGCAGTGCATTAGCCCCTGGGATGCAGAGCTCGCTCCAAATCCAGTCATATTTCCCTGGCTTCAAAAGAGAGGGGCCATGTCTAGAAGCATCGACTCAGAGAGTAGTAAAGAGAGTCTACAGACTGTGGCACTAACGAGTATATCAACGCCTCGAACCTCGTCCCCTTCTGAAGCTACAACACGTGTTTCCGCCGATGATCCATTCCTGGACTCGCCTATCGAATACAACAGTTCTTCTCGAAACAGCGAAAAGTCGTGTGAACTGTCGGATACTGGCCGGGATGGGCGTGGTGAGTCCGCGCAGCCATGTGACGCAGATGGGCCTGCTTGTACTACACAATCCGGAAAGACAGCTGAGTCTTACGACTGCGACGCGTGCGAAACAACGTATCCTACCAAAGGGCAGCTCAAGTAAGTCAAGCAATGGAATGCGAATGATAGCTTTGTTATTTTTTTGCTAAGAAATGGGCCTTCAGTATGCATCTCAACCGCAAGCATCGTCGACGCTATCGCTGTCAGCACTGCCCTTCGGCATTTGCGCTAAAAGCCGACTTGCGGAGGCATGAGCGAAGTGTCCACAAAGACATGTACCAAGCACAAGCATTTTCCTGTCCTAATCCGGCATGTAACATTCCACAAAAACGGTTTGCGCGGAGAGATAATCTCGAAAGACACATACGGCGTTGTCGCAATCGCGAGTCAGGATAGTAGTAGTACTAAGAAGTCGTCAAGCATGGGAGGGGGGGAGGGGGTTATTTCTCCGAAGACACCACACGACCAAGTTCTACTGCTACTACCTACTACCCAAACCGGATGTATTTGCGCCGGACGCCGAGGGCATTTCTCCGCGAGAAATCATGCGTTAACGCCTGCGGACAGGTTGTTTTGCGGGGGAGGCGATTTGTAAACGGAAGCTAGTAGTATCGCACCACAAGTTGATTTCTGAGGAATTCGTTTGTCTACAAACTGGCAAACTGGATCAGAAGTTTGCGAAAATCTTGTAAAGTCCCGAAATTACTACTGCGGGAATGCGATTGATCCCGGAGAAGCCGGGATCCAGTTTCAAGAATGTTCGGTAGCCGAACACCAACACTACTACGGGTCAGGGTCAGGCCAAGGACGAAACAATTTGCTGGCCACATGACGGCTTGATCCTGGGTCTTTACTGCGTCAAGTTCTAGGGCAGTGTGATTGTGTCAAGGTCAGGTTCAATAGGGAAAATACTGCGGGCTGGCTATCACGCAATTTGAACGTTGTAAGTCTTGACCAAACTGCATTTGTGGATGTGGTCGGGGTTGTATTATCATTAGGGCGCGCCTACCACATAGGCACTTGTACAAAAAAAAATTCTTAGTTAACTAATATACACCATGTAACCAACCGCCTTTTCGCCGAGTCGAGATATTCCGACCACGGGGAAGTCTAATTTGCATGGAGCACAGTTATTGAGTCAATAAGCTCCCAGCCTTCTAATAGAAAACAAATAGGCTTTAGGTGGACAGACAAAGCCAAGGCCTCACATTCCATGTACATTCTGCAGTGTGTCCATTAATCGACAGGCTTCTTGCGGCACCGTACAAAAGTAGTGTATTCGGTAGCTTGTCGCTTGCGTCTACTAGCTTCGGCCCCACCACACAATATGCACGTGCATGTATACGGGGTGTTCGCGTGCAGACTCGTGCCATATACATTGACAAAGCGGCATTGTTTAGTCGACAAGCAATGGATGTTGAAGTCCGTCGGGGAAGCGAAATCGTGGTAAACTGCCGGAGTGGACAATGGTTTTGCCGAAGGAGTTTCCAGTAATGAGGGGTTCGTGACACTGATGGCGCGTCTTGCTTGTGGACATGATATCTGGTTCTAGATGGTAGGGTCGGCCAATAGTCCGCAGGGAGCCAACGCGGGCTGCTTGATCCATGGGTTTTTTTGGGGGGGAAGACGCAATGCCCCCCTTGAGCTGTCGTCTATAGTGGTTGCGGGTTTACCGGGCGTAGGACAGGCCCGACCGGGTAATATGGGACAGTCTTGTAATGTGCGAGATGGCTTGGCCGACTGCACCCAAGTCGGGGCGCATGAAGCCTACTCGGATGGTTTTGGCAGAGAGAGCTGGGTGGAGCTTCTTGACACGCATGGTCTTGTGTTGGCTTCGACCTGGACCTGGACTGGGGCTGGGTCCTTCTTCACCATCGACTGCCACTTGGATGTCGTCATCTTGAGCAGGTCCTTGAAGAGGGTGTGATCCGACGACGACGGGTTTCCATCCAGATGATACATTGTGGGCGTGTATGGCGAGTTTGTGTCGAGAGAGCAAGAGGAAAAAAAAATAGAGGATGTTGATGGCGCGGCGTTAGCGGCAGAGGATGGAATTTATGGGCCGCGTGCACCCTAGGCCTTACTATACATACTTTTGCCTATGGGCGCATTCTAGCCCGGTCTTCCCCCGCCCTTTGCCGCCCATGACCTGCTGCAACCCCCCACGGTCCGACGCGACGCGCTTCCATGTTTTCGACCCCCTTCGTTACCATCTTCATCTCATACATGTGCGCACACACACCCACACAGACATCAATATATGTGTGTACACATCCGTTGCGACTGTATGCGCATCGAATCCCACCGAGAAAACGCGCGTTTAGCAAACAACAGGGCGTGCACTAAGGCCTGACCGTTAGTTACTGTGGCTGTCCAGTTGATGGCTGTGCTACCCAGTCTACCTTCTCACCGCCATTGAAGCCCGATTATACTTTCCGCCTTCTGTTTCCCTGCATCGAGTTACTGTGCATAACAAACAACCTGGACTGGTCACGCTGTGACATTGGCCTGAGCCTTAGATCAGCAGTGCCTGGTGATGAGTACTCATGATACAAGTGTGAGCTGTCTTTGTACAGCACTTGGATGACGCGACCAGCTGAATCGGCACTTGTCCAGCTATAATTTTGGCTTGGCCAGCCATATTCTCCGGATCCAAAATGCTCGCGCCATTGGAAAGCCACAGCCTTCACTTGACTAATTTGGTCTTGGTCGTCGCCATTCGAAACATCTTTCTGGTTAACACCTTGCCTTTTTCAATCACTTCGCATACCCTTCCCGCTAGTCTAGGCTGCTCCGTTGATTCTTCCAGGTACACTCAAGGACATAATGTAATGACTGTGCGGATATCCCCCGCTGCTATATCACCATACTTGCCTGTAGTAAAGGGTATGGCCACCGGCGAGGACCACGTATGTAACACATACATCATAACCGAAGCTCAAGTTTGGGAACATGACCTGTTGAGAGGTTTTGTATGCTGTAATCCAGAGGTACAATCTGGCTCATTGGCCCAAGTGCCTGCATCAAAGCCAAACCTGAGACGTGGAGAGTGGCGTGCAGGCACCCGTCTATCTGTATGGAGGGAAACTTCTAGGAAGCACCTAGTACATATAGCGCAAATCTCGGCAGTGTTCAGTTGGCAAACCCTTCTTATTTGCACTATATAGCCCACGGGGAAGCAGAGTGCTTTGATTCACTGCGGCATCAAACAATGAACAAGTGAGTTGCTATCTCAGTGCCGCATCGCGCTAGACTCTGACTTTCGGACAAAGGCAACCTGAGAGCTCAACCACGCAGGCGTCTAGCGTTGACCTGTCAGAGAGCGAACATGGCACCTGCAAGCTGAGGCGTGTACCAGACCGAGTTCCCACCATGGTATGGATAGTGGCTGTAGTAGGCTTCTGGGAGCGAGCAGCCTTTTGGGGCAGTAGGTACGCCTTCAAACTCTGGTCTACCAACAACTAACTTTTTTCTGACTATAGTCTCTGCGCCCTGGCGTACGTTTTCTCCGTCTCCCTATTGTCAGTTGACCACGGCCACCACTGACACTGCCGTGCTACAGAAAATTACATGGAGAATCCTCGGAATTACACCATAGAAGGCACCCCGGGAGCCCTGGGTCTCGGTCAAGCAACAGCAACACGCATCTTCTGCGGCTTCTTCGTCGTCTACTTCACCTGCCCAATCCTCTTTGCACCACTGGTAGACAGCCGCGTGGGCCAGTACAAGACATTGGTCATCAGCCTAGGAGTGTACGTGCTAGGATGCATTACTTTGGCCATCAGCTCCTACCCGACTATGCTTGACCGAGGAGCCGGCCTACCGGGTTTACTCGTGTCAATGGCTTTGATCGCCTTGGGAGGCGGATGTGTACGTCTCCCTTGTTACTACAAAGCATATGCACTGCTTACTAAATTCTACCAGTCGCAAGCCACTGTTAGATCCTTTATTGCTGCACAGTACAAAGACAGGACCCCACGACTTCGAACATGTCCGCCGTCTCGAAATCGATACTTGGATTTCCTTCGAAAGCGATTAGACAATACAAAATTCTCCAAATGGCTGCCAGCTGCTTCGACTGAAGAAGTCGTCGTGGTCGATCCTGAACTTACCCTCAAGTTCATATATACTCTCCTGTTTTGGGTTGGCAATGTAGGTGCACTCTTGGTCTTCCCAATTGTTTGCATCGAGAGGTTTTCCGGCTTCTTTCCCGCCTTTGTCTTGGGCGGCAGCTGTGCACTCATGGCCTTTTCCATCATCATTGCTGGCAAGAAATACTTCGGTATGACCCGTCGCCGGCCTTGGTACAAGATTATTGCTAATTTTCATAGTAAAACCTCCGCTTGCAGACAATGTAATGATACCAGCGGCAAATGTACTTGGCTGTGCTGCGCGCAACGGGTTTAAGATGTCGCGTACAGATCCTGCTTACCAGCTTGCGAATCGAGGCAAAACAGTGCCATGGAATAGCCAATTTTCCAATGAAATCACACGCGCATTAGGTGCTTGTAGGGTCCTGTCGGTACCTCTCTCTCCACCCGCCCAGCACAGATAAGCTGACATATTCTTAGTCTAGCATTCATCATGTTCTACATCTGCTTCGACCAAATGCAGAACAATTTGATATCTCAAGCAGGTGACATGAACAAAGGACAGACACCCAACGAAGTCGTGCCTAGTATGAACCAGGTCGCGTGCATCGTCATCAGTCCATTGGTCGAATACGTTCTTGATCCAGCACTGTCCAAGCGACGCATTTACCTCAAACCCGTTACTCGCATCGCCATTGGATTTACTTTTGTCTCGCTCTCCATGGTGTACGCGGCCGTGGTACAGCACTTCATCTACATTTCCCCGCCTTGTTTCAATCACCCCTCGTCATGCGAGGGCCATCATCTGGTCGCCCAGCAACGACCGAACATTTGGACACAAACGCCCGTATTTGTGCTCATGGCCGTGGGCGAGGTCTATGCTATGACCACGGCCATGGAATACGCAGAGACGCATTCGCCCAAGGAAATGAAAGTCCTCGTACAATCCATCAACATGCTCATCACCGGTGTCGGATCCATGTTTGCCATGGCAATTGCTGAAGCGGCTCGCGACCCATATTTGATGATTTTCTACTCCAGTCTGGCCGGTGCCATGGCTCTCACGACAATCGTCTTCTACGCCTTGTTTCGGAACAACGACGAAGAGGAGCAAAATCCTGCGTTTGATACAGAGGCCATCACAAAGACTGGGAATGAACAAGGCAATGCCATTCCTTGTATAGCACGTACACCACGAGATTCTGTGCAACCAGATAAGAGTATTGGCACCCAGGTCACGGTCACCAAGGCAGAGTAGAGAAGCTTTTGCTGCCAAGTATAGTTGTTCAATCGCTCGGCAGTTGTATCAAGGTAATCACAGGGAAAATGGCGGAATTAAACCAACAAGGAAGTTGGTTGACCAGGCCTCCTCCAACTCACATGGTTCAGATGTAATGACACCATAGATTTCATATTCTACATCACTCGAACAGAAAACGTATAGCCAGCGGCTAGTATACAAGTTTTGAAAACAATGTTTAATCAAGAATCCTACATCACATGTATAAACACTTATCACTTGAATACTTAGTAATTCTTTTATTTTATTTTTTTCGATTGTACGTTACATCTATCATAGTGAACAGTCCAACAAGCTCATCTTCTTCATCGAGGCAAAAAAAAACAATACACTCACATATATACGACCAAACGCATACAAAACTCACAGCCACTAAGCTCCAGGGGACAAAAAAGAATTGCCTTCGGCCAGAATTGAACTGACGGCCTCGTCATTACTAGTGACGCGCTCTACCACTGAGCTACGAAGGCATGATTGGTTGCTCTGGATGAACAATTTTTGATATTGAACATAGATATTTCCGTCCCAAATCTGATCAGACGAGGCGATGCGCAACAGTTTTCTGAGCATCATCCTATCGTTGGGACGCCATGGTGGTATATTTGCAGACCGCGAAGAAGAAAAGAGCTAGAAAGTGGGGCCGTATGCATCAACCCCTAACTCAACACAGATAAGTCCCATCGGCGTATCTTGAGGACATCACAGTATCGGCCAGACAGCTGAACCTTTGTTGTGCTGAGACGCCATCTAAAATTCTAATTGAATTCACTGTTATCAAACCATACTAGCAAAGGGCAAATGATGCCCCTTCAACAAAGAGATCATGTGATACTTTGCTCCACTCCTATGCGGTGCGAGAGAGGAAGTGAACGGCTACCAACTACAACGCCAGTGTAAATGCAACATACAGCCTGTGGATATCGCTCGTGTATTTTTGCAACGAAAGATGGAAAGGAAGAAGTCCCACCAGTGGGTAAGGAGAGTATAAAAATAACATGGAAAGAAGGTGTTGGAAGAAATTTCGGTTGCTAACAAGAGCCTAAGCGTGATGCTGTTTCTTCTCTCGCTCCTCAAGCTCTTTGACATATTTGACAAACGTTTTCTTGTGAACCTAGGTGTTTTGTTAGTGTCACGCTAATAAGCAATGGTCGCAATCTTTCACTCACCAGACCAGCGTATTTGCCGTCCCTAAGAACACAGATGTAACGCAATCCAAGCTTGACAAAACACTCGTAAACGAGATCCATGGGTGAATGAACGTCCAATGCTACTGGGGCAGGGTCGATGTATGGAGTGAAGTCACTCGGGTCGTATGCTTCTTGCTCTTCCTCGTCGTGAGGTTCTCGTCCTGCCGCCCAGTCTACTCGTGGGGACATTAGGCAAAGCGTGTTTTCTTCATTTTCGAGCTTGTCGAGAGCGAACTCCAGATCTGGTGCAGGGATAAGTCCAACAAGGATACCATTTTTGACAATTGACAGGCCACCATCTAGTTCACCAGCCATCTGTAGGGCGCGTTGCTTTGCACGCAACTCTACTGCAGGAATTAGGGAATCCTCTGAGATGTCGATTACATGGTCCATTTTCGATCCAGGGGTAATGTCGCCCAATTCAGAGGTGAAGATTGGTCGGACTTTGTTGTCAAGGAACGGGTATGAGTTCATGTCTGTAAGTAGGTCGTAGATGCTGAGTGGCTCGATAGCATCCGCTACCCATTTGGAGACGAGAATACCCAGGGAAAAGGGCAGTACATGATCCAAGCTGCCAGTGAGTTCGAAAAGAATGACGGCCAAAGTAATGCTGAGACGGGTGACGCCAGTCATGGTTGCTCCAGCTGCTACTAAGGCGTAGACACCTGGAACGACACAGGAACCTGGAGGGCCGTCTGGCGAGCACTCGCTGAAAATGCCGAGATGACTAAACCGCAGAGCAACAAGCTGGACGGTGTGGCCAATGAAGCGTCCAGCAAGACCACCAACAACCATGGAGGGTACGTAGATACCGGCTGGAACTTTTATGCCAAAAGTGACTACGGTCAGGCTGGCCTTGATAAGGAATGCGATGAACAAGAGTTTGAGCACCCCAGGAATATGGTCGACAGTCGGGCACAGGCCATCGCCCGTGTCAGTGTAGGTATCGCAGGGACTAGCTAGCTCAAACAGGAGCTCGGTAACAGGGAGTTTAGTGTAACGGTTCCAGAAGCTAACCAGACCCGTAACGAGCGCAACAAGGAAGACCTCGAGAAGGGGATGTTTTTTGATGATGGGTATGCGACGGAATGTGCGTGCCCAGATGCGAGATGCTTTGATAAAGAGGGCACCCAAAACGCCACCAACGGCACCGGTAAATATAAATGATGCGAGCTCGAAGAACTTCCAATCCAAGTGGTATCGCACCTCGAAAAGCACAATCTTCTTGGTTCCGTATGGGTCAAGAAACTTGAGTGATAGAGCAGCCGCAATGCAACAAAAGAAGGTGCGGAAAAGCGTCTTTGATGGGAAGTAATAGCTGACTTCCTCAAGACTGAAAAGCACGCCACCAATGGGGGCACCAAACGCAACAGCGACACCACTAGCAGCACTTGCGCTCAGAATTTCCCTGCGCTTGCCATCATTGTTACTGTACTTGGAGAAAATACGGCAGACAATGTTGCCAATACATGTGGCAATATGGACGTAGGGACCTTCTTTGCCGAGACTGAGGCCTGATGCGACACTAAGAATAAGGGCGAGGGTCTTGATGACGAGGGTGCGTACACCAAGGTAACCGTGAAGGACAAAACCACTTAGAATGACTTTGACTTCGGCCACACCACTACCAGCAGCGGAATAGTAGACCATGGGGGGTCGGGCCTGTACCTCCTGGAACCGGGATTCGGGGCTGGCACTGCGCTTGTTGTCATCGTCGTCGTCGTCGTCGGAAAATCTTCGAACATCTGCACCAAGATTCTCATCTAGCGTAGAGAGCGAAATGGCGGATGGGATGACGGTCTTTGTGGTGAGGGTGAGCAGACACGAGGCCATGGAGAGCAGCACAACGGAAAGGACAAAGAAACCATACTGTGTCTGCACGACATCCAGCCTGTCTGTGCGGACAGCCTCAGACCAATGGATCCATTTGTCGCATATTGAAGCGCCATCACAGCATTTCTTGTGACTCTTTGTCCAGCCAACCGAACAGTATCCCTGCTTCAGGTCGAAGAGCGTTGTTTCGGTCGTGTTGACGAAATAGGCGCAGACGGCAGTGAGGACACCAATGATGGCGACCAGGACCCAGCCCTGGGCACCGTCAAACCAAGCTGCGAGACGGCCCCTGATGTCCTTTCTGCTCCGCAGTGCTTTTACACGGTACGCGTCGGCGATGTTGTCGTGGACCCAGTCGGTGGATGTGAACTGATCGTACCAGACGCGGTCGTCCTGGAAAATGGCTGCCTTTGCTGAGTGCATGCTCTGCTCGAGTCCGTGGCCTCGCTCGCCCAGCGCATTCACGAGGCGCTGGCTGAACGTGTGGCCACCGGTGAGGGAGCCTCGTCTACTGGAGCGTATGCGCGAGGTGGTGGGCAATTGGCTGTTGTTACGCGTCATGCCTGGACGCGGGGTGCCAGGCGTGGTGCCTGGGAGGCTCTTGTAGGACCTGGAGGAGCGCAGATGGGGCAGGCCCAGCAACGAGGTACGCTCGTTGACGCTCTCTCTGGACCTGGCAAGGTCCGTGTCCGAAGCTCGCATATGCCTCATGGCGCTGAAGGTGAGGGTTGGCGACGTGGGAGTTGTGCTACTGTATGTGTCATGGCTCTCGCCGCGGTCGGCAGAGCCCTGAGCGTGACCGGTGTCATAGTCGTCGACGCTGTGATATGAATGCGTCGACTTGGGCATGGCTGCGGCGGCGGCGCAGGAGAGGGGTGGAGGTGGAGGAGGAGTGGAGAGGAAGGTGGAGAGAGAAGGGGGAGTTAGAGGACGGGCAAGGGCAGCGTATTATTAGTGGTGAGGTCAGTTTGAGACATGTCGCCGAGCGGCCGCACTATCATGGTCATCTGGGGGACTGATGGCGGTGTCACGATGGATATGTTATGGCTGGGCAGCATGGCCCCCGTCCCCACCCGGCTGCGGATCTTCACCACGGTGGTTGCGAGGGGGCTTCATGGTTGAGTATCTGCCTGGCGCCACGGCATAATGACGAGTTTCCAAAAACTGAATGCGGCATGCCGGGGGTGTGGGCGGCGACGCGACTCAGCAAGGACAAGCAAAAGCAGACGGGGGGTGGGGGAGGGTCTGGCAATGTGTAGGAGAAAGTGTAGTAGGATGTAGCAGTGCCGCATGCAACTGGCGGTAGGCGCGTGCCATGTGATTATCTGGGTTGCG